TAACTATGGACCACTTTAAATTTAATTTAGGTCTAACTCAAATTAAACCTAACCCAACTAAATCTTATCTAAGTATAACATAAATTGGATCTAACTCAACTAAAATCTCTATTTCAACCTAGGTCTCACCAAACTTAGATCTGGCCCAACTCAATTTGAAACATAAATTAGGCTAATTCAATTTAGACCTAACTCAACCTCATTCAAGTCTACTAGACCTGGGCCTGATTCAAAAAAATTCTAAACTTAAGTTAATCTAGGCCTAACATAACTTAGACATAATTCGACTTAACTCAACTTTCAGATTTTAAAACTTGACATTCAACTTAGGTCTAATCCAACCTTAGACCTAGCTCAACTTAATTCAAATTTTAAACTTAAGTCTAACCTAATTTTGACCTATCTTAATCAAGGCTTAATTTGGCCTAACATAAATTAAACCGGGTTAACCGGACCTAACTCGTGTTATCCCAAACAACCTTAAGCCAATTCAGGGTTAACTCGACCTAACTCCGGTTAACTCATATCAACTTAAACCAATCATAAGTCAATATGACCTAACTCGAGTTAATCCAAACCAACTTAAAATAATTATGGGTCAACCCGACCTAATTTGGGTTAACTGAAATCAACTTTAATCGAACCTGGGTCAACTCGGCCAACTCGGGCTAACCCAAATCAACTTAAATTAAACCTGAGTCTACTCAACCAAACTCGAGTTAACCCAAATCAGCCTAAACCAATCCTAGGTCAATTCGACGTAACTCGATTTTAATCAAACCTTGGTCAACCCAACCTAACTCGAGTTAACGCAACTCAACTTAAAGCAAACCTAAGTCAACCCAACTTAACTTGGGTTAACCCAAACTGATTTTAACCAATCCTGGGTCAACCCTACCTAACTCTTGTTTACCCAAGCAGACTTTAACTAAACTTAGGCCAACCCGATCTAACTCAGGTTAAACTAAATCAACCTTTTTATTGTTATTATATTTCAAATCTTCACTCATCTTATTTGATTTTATCATGATTTACACATTTCATTGTCTTGGTTTATTTAAGAAGATAATGTTATATCCCTCATATCTTTGGTGCATGGGGACATTCAAAGAAGTTTAAGGGATGTTTGATTTGCCAACCAGAAACACAGTATAAAATGATTGCAATACAAGATTAATATATTGTTATTGAAATACTGCAAAATTATTTGATATGGTGTAAACAAATGAAAGACGTCATTTTTTTGGGTAAAATAAAAATAATGTATTTCATAGTAATATGTTTGCTAGCAGTGGAGGGCGACAGTGTTGGTGATGATGCCCACTGACGACTAACAATGGCAGTGGTAATTGATACACCTAAAATATATAGTGTTTTTAGACGTATTTTTATACCTATTTTTTAGATATTGCATTTTAATGGAAGATATTTGTGTGTTATTCTTTCAGGTACAAGTAGAAAGGTGAAAAATGCTAAAAGGAGTGAAAAAGGATCAAATTTTGAGCAAATATGTGAAAATTGTGCTAGTGTTTTGGCGCCTAAGCGCCAGATCCAGCTCTTATGCGCCTGTTAAATAGAGAAGGCCGCCTGTTAAATAGAGAAGGACGCGCCTAAGCGCCAGAGGCCCCGCACTTAAGCGTCAGAGGTAGTTATTTGGCGGTTTTTTCATTTGACCGGATTTTGATTTTGAATGGGTATTTGAGGCACTTTTTGGCTGAAGAGGGTGGTTATGACCACTAGAAATCAAAATATTATTAAAATACTTGCAAAAGGAGGAATCCTTTGGAGAATACATTGAATTGGGACACATTTTGAAGAGTTATGAATGCTTTTTTTGGAGATTTATAAAAGAAGGAAGTTGAGACTTTTTGAAGTGTGCTTGAAAGTTCTGAAAATTGTTGGAAATTGGGAGTTTTTGAGAGAGATTTTCATGCACCAAAAATCTACTTTATTCTTTTTGTTTTTAGTTTTATTTTGAGAGTTAAGAGTGTTGTAAAAGAAAAGAGATTCAAAGGAACTTCAAGAGTTTGGTGGAGGATTTGAGATAAATTTTTATCTTTTGTTTTTAAATTACTTTTGGTTTTAATCGAAACTTCTTGTTGGTTTGACAATGATTTCTACTTTTAAACTAAAGTGTTTTCTCCATAGTTTTCTTTATCTTTCTCCTTAAAATGATAAGTAAATAAAGTATTGGATGAAAGTTGTGGAGAGTATTGATCTTTAATGTTGGAAGAATTTTTAAAGATTTAACTCCATGTACTTCATTTATTTCTTAATTTGGTCCATCGAGATGTTAAAATTTATTGTGAAAACATGTAAGAGCCGGGATGGTATTTTCTCAGTCAACAATTGGAAAGAATCACATGAGATTTTATGGATGAGAATGTAATTCATATGATTCAGTGTAAATAAATAGGAAAATAATCATTGAAGGGTGTAGAGCTAGAGGACTTTAAAGTGACAGGTTAAAGCCCACAACTTGACTTGGTTTATTATTTTATATTTTATGTTCTGATACGAGATGCTAGCCCCCAGGTGGAGGGAATCGATGGAACTCTAGAGTGAGCGCTAGTCTATTCCCTGTCTGGCCGGTCTTCAAAACTATTCAAACTTTAAATAGTCAATATTTTTTATAGCATCTCTAGTTAGCATCTCTAGTAAGGGTTAAGGGTAAAGAATATAATTATTTCTATTTGGCACAACAGAATTTTTATGCTTATTACTTATTCATGATAAAGATTCATGATAAAGAGAAAACAGTGTTTTTCTTTTACATAAACTCATGTTTTCTTTTTAAATTGTTTTTACATAAACTCAAGTTATA